CGTTATTATTATTATTATGAATTTGAGTATTCGAATTAAAAGTCTATTCTAATAAAATGAATACTGAATAACTCGATATTCAAATAAAACGAATAAACAATTCGAATAAAACTATTAAATGTATGATTCGAATAAAACGAATAAACGAATAAATTGAATAAATGGATAGTTCGAATAATTCAAATAGTTCGAATATTTCTAAATAAATGGACAAATTCCAATAGCCTAAATAGTCCGTAAAAATGAAGGAATTCAAATAAACCGAGTAATTCAAATAAACGAACAGTTTGAATAAAACGAATAAACGAACAATTTGAAATAAAACGAATAATTCGAAATAAAAACGAATAATTCGAATAAAAGAAGATAATAATTCGATAATAAACGAATCATAGCAATTCGAATAAAAGAAGATAATAATTCGATAATAAACGAATCATAGCAATTCGGATAATAAACGAATGATAGCAATTCGAATAAACGAATGCTGACAATTCGAATAAATGAATGCCGACAATGCGAATAAACGAATGATAGCAATTTGAATAATAAACGATAAATGAATGCTGATAATAAACGAATGATAACAATTCAAATAATAAAACGAACGACAAATACTCGAATAATAAACGAACGATAACAATTCGAATAATAAACGAATGATAACAATTCGAATAATTCGAAATAAAACGAATAAAACGAATAATTCGAAATAAACGATAATTCGAATTAAGATCGAGTTGTGTATTATTATTATGGATAATTTCTAAAATCAAAAAATCATGAAATTGATTTTAATAATGACGGTAGCAGCAACAGTGGTGTTGGTGGTAATGATTCGCAACAAATACACAAATCACATCCAGATGCATACCATACAAGTAGAATAATAGATGAAGTAATTACTAAATCTAAAAGCTTGAAACTTTATACAAGTAATGATAGTTCGTTAAATAATCTTGATTTTAACTCTTTTCTCTAGAATGCTAACAAAGGTGAATAAAAATTTCATTATCCATTAATTATTACTAACAATATTAATCAATCAATTAATAAACATTAAATTATAGTAATAATAGTAAAAGAAAAGATGTAATGAATGACTAATTTAATTTCCATTATAAAATTTATTATCATCTTTTATCTTTTTATTTTATCCTTATTTTGTTTCTCAAAGCTAAATTATAATAATGTTTTGAAATGATAAACTTTTATAGTTTCTTGATTCTTGTTAAATGGTTTAACTTTTGGGCTACTCTTGTTAGTTAATTTAGTTGCAAATAATTCGGCTTTACTAAAGCTTGATCACGTGAGAGACCGCATCCTTATTTGTAGGAAAATGATGATTGGATGGAAAAATTCACCAACATAGCAATAAAAATACTCAAGAAAGAAATGGCACAGGAATCCAAACCACTAGTAGTATATCTGTATTTTATTATATTATACTGTTGTTGTTTGGACTGTAATTAATATTATATAAATTATTTATAGGAAGATGTTAATTTGATGGAAAATTTTCCCAATATTAATCAAAATGATGAGAATACTAAGCATGGAAACCTTATAAAATATTTATATTCATCAAATGAAATTACAGAAAAAGAAAAAAAGACAATTCAAAAGAACCAGATACTATTGAAAAGAGAATTGGAAATATATCAGTTGAAAAATGAAAAACTCCATTTGAAGAGTTTACAGGAAGGATACATTACACAAAAGGATCTTTCATCAATTCAGGAAAATAAATGCAAATTATTGGACGAGAAGTTTAAAGACAAGAAAAAAAGAGCATGAAAAAATAAATGAACTATAAAAAGATAATATAAAGATATCAGAAGAGATTGAAGATTGAAAACTTATATAAAAAGTGAAAGGGGATGCTGGAAAAGGACGGGGGACGGGCAGGTGTGGCTTGAACCCGTCCCCCGTCCTTTTCACGTTTGGCCCTTTA